GATGCCCAACTTGAACAATCCCATTAGAGGGAAGAACTTTCATGAATTCCTTTCTCCCCATGCGGTTTGGAAATATTTTCATGGTAATTACATTATTTAAATAATATAAATTATTATAAAACTATAAATCCATACATGTTTTTATGTTTATAGCTTTTTACAACTATCAAAAAACACAGCTATGGGGCGCCTGGGTGGCTCAGTCGTTAAGCGTCTGCCTTCGGCTCAGGTCATGATCCCAGGGTCCTGGGATTGAGCCCCACATCGGGCTCCCTGCTTGGCGGGAAGCCTGCTTCTCCCTCTCCCACTCCCCCTGCTTGTGTTCCCTCTCTCGCTGTGTCTCTCTCTGTCAAAAAAATAAATAAAATCTTAAAAAAAATATGGTTTTGAAGTTAATAAAATCAAAATACGATCATCACTTAATGTGACAGGTTATACTTGGATGAAGTGAAATCACCTGCAACGTGAATATCGTAGTGACAGGTCCGGGGCAAGGTCTTTTGCGCAGGGCATCCTGTACCACCATCTATTGAGCTATGATTCTTCTCCCACAATTTTCCTTTTCCTTGGTTTCTTCATTCGACCATGGCATCATGTAGCTGGCACTTGGTGCTAATGCACTGTTTTCATATCATTTGCTTCTGTTAATGTTTCATTAGATCATAACAACCTGGCACTTTAGTACCAACAAAAGCAAGCACAAATGGACCCACGGTACTGAAATTGTATCATCAGAGGGTCATACAGTTGATCTAGAACTATACCGTCCCATATGGCCCCCACTAGCCATATGTGGCTACTGAGCACTTGAAATGTAGATAGTCTGGATTAAGCTGCATGTGTGTAAAATACACTCATATCATATTTTGATGACTTAGAATGAAAAAAAGCAACATGGCTCATTCACTATTTTAAAATTGATTCCATGTTAAAATCACATTATTTGGGGTATATTGAGTTAAATAAAATATATTATCAAGATTAATTCCACCTGGATTTTTTGTCTGTGTTTATTTCTGCTTTTTAAAATATATATCCTAAAGGGGCACCTGGGTCACTCAGTTGGTTAAGCATCTGCCTTCAGCTCAGGTCATGATCCCAGGATCCTGGGATTGAGCCCGGCATCGGGCTCCCTGCTCAGCAGGGTGTCTGCTTCTCCCTCTCCCTCTGCCCATCCCTCCAGCTCATGCTCTCTGTCTCAAATAAATGAAATCTTTAAATAAATAATATACATATATATCCTAGAAATATGTATATATATATATATATATCTTAGAAAGTTTTAAATTATATAAGTGGCTCACACTGTAATTCTATGAGACTATATGGTCTAGAATAATTGTGTGTGTGTGAGAGACAGAGAGCATGTGTACAACAAGCAGAAAATACTGCATGAAAAATTCTCATAGAAAATACATGGGTATCCAAAACACATAGATCTAGTTTCCAATTTACCACTGCTCTAGCATTTAGTGGCTGCGTTCCCTCTCAGAAGCTAAGGGTACAGAACCAGCATAGGACTTTCCTCAGCTTTCCCTCCAGGATCCTAGTGATCTATTTCTCTCGTTTTCCCACATGGCTTCCTTGTAGAAGTGTCTGGGGAAAGCACTTCCATCCCTCCCAGAACATATGTACTGCCATATATGGTCATTTCACAGTCAGTTGATCAAAAATTATTCTTCATTGGGGAAACCCATGGTGGATAAAAGACAAAAAAAAAAAAAAGGTGAGCATGTACTTTCTGGGCAAACATATATAACTACTTCCCAGGCTATACAAAACTACTGAAATTCAGGGACTACGTCAATTAAGGAATTAGTCTAAAATAATATATGGGGGTGCCTGGGTGGCTCAGTTGGTTGGGTATCCGACTCTTGATTTTGGCTCAGGTCGTGGTCTCTGGGTCGTGGGATTGGGTTCCAAGTCGGGTTTTGTGCTTAGTACAGAATCTGCTTGAGACTCTCTCTCCCTCTCCCTCTGCCCCTCCTCCCCCCACAACTCTCTAAAATAAATAAATAAATCTTTAAAAAATAATAAATAATATATAGCCAGCTATCCAATCACATTCACGTAGCAAGTATTTTCCAAATATCTACACTGACAAGGCCCCACGGTTGACACGTGTAAAATGCAAAAGTAAACAAATTAGGGATTTGCTGCCAGGAAGCTTGCGATCCAATAGAGGCGATAATGACGTGGGTAGGCCTAGTCCGAGGACCCAGAGGGGGTCCCGCAGGACTAGGGAAGAGAGTCCTTGGCTTCATGCAGGATGGAAATCAAACCTGAGCCAGCAGTAGGTGAAAGCAGAGTTTATTGAAGGTATATATACAGAGAGAGTGAGAGAGATACAGACAGAGCATCCAGGAGACTTGGAAGGGAAAAGAGTATATGTCTCATCTTTGCTTGGGGCCTGGGGTTTTATTAGTGATTGTGGTCTGGTGTAGTGCACGTGTCCTCTTAGGCACCCAGGAACTGGTCAGAACAAGGACAGGGTCCAGGTGTCCATAAGTCACTCATTCCCTGAAGCCAGGCGTCTAGGCATCAAGGTATTTGGAGTCAGTGGTCTTAGAGAACCTTTATGATGACCTCACCCAGTCACTCCTTAGATGTTATATATTGTGCTGGAAGACTCTAAAGACATCATTATCTCTTTGTCCCTTACAAGGAGGACATATGCTATTGCATTACAAGGTGTGTGTAGAGTGGGGTAGGGGTGCAGGTCCTAGCAAGAATAGAACCGGAAGAGAAGCAAAGAGAAAAAAAAACAAACAGCTTTTTTTTTCATGTGTCCCTTCAGTTTCTCTGTCTCAATAAGACATGTCAAAATTTCTTTTTTAAATAGCAAAAGTTAATCCAGTATATGTTCCAAGAATAGACTCAGTTGAGTTCTATATTTGAACTCATTTAATCCCCACAACCCTATGAGGTTGTTCCCCATTTTACAGATGAGAAAACCAAGGCAAAGGGTATAAAATACTTAAAAGATCATATGATTATTAAGTAGCACTGGCAGGTTTCAAGAAAATATAAGACAGGTCAGATGGAAATACAAACAGTGTGGGTTTCTGTCACTTGCTACCAAAAAAGTGTGACTAAAGTAATCTATTACAACATTCTGGTCATGGTCTTCCCTTTTCTGTGCCCCCCAATCTCACTTTATAGAAACCAGATCACAGGGAATAATAAAGAGGTTTTTTGTCTTTTAAGAAAGAGGTTCTTGAAAAATGAAATCACTGTGATCAAATGAGGAGTCTGGTAGAATGGGCCAGATAGAACTAAGTGGCAAGTAAGTTAAGGACTGAAAAATACCCATGGAATTTAGAAGCTAAGACACTGGAGAGATTGATGAGACAAATTTTTTCAGGAGGTCAGGTGGGGTGTAGAATCTGGATTGATGGGTGTTGGGGAACAAAGGGATGGTGATGTCATGGAGACGGTGAACTATATTATTGAACTGGAACCCCTTTTAGGTTGTTGTATCATCCTTTGAGGGGCTGAGATAACTTTAAAGGAAGATAAAAGTAAATTTCTTTCATATGGCCAATAAGCAGATGAAAAGATCTAGACAGCAGCCAACAGGGACATTCAAATCAAAGTCACAATGAGATTAAAAGACAATAGTGGGGCGGCTGGGTGCCTCAGTCAGTTGAGTGTGGACTCCTTATTTCGGCTCAGGTCATGATCTTGGGGTCATGGGATTAAACCCCACAACCAGCCTCATCTAGAGCCCCTCACTGGGCTCCACCCTCAGTGGGGAGTCTGCTTCAGATTCTCTTTGCCCTTCCCACTGCTTGCATATGCACTCTCTGTCTAAAATAAATAAATGAATCTTAAAAAAAGGTAAATGTACCTGAAAACAATTTTATTTTTATTTTATTTTAAAGATTTTATTTATTTATTTGAGAGAGAAAGAATGAGACAGAGAGAGCATGAGAGGGGGGAGGGTCAGAGGGAGCAGACTCCCTGCTGAGCAGGGAGTCTGATGAGGGGCTCGATCCCAGGACTCCAGGATCATGACCTGAGCCAAAGGCAGTTGCTTAACCAACTGAGCCACCCAGGTGCCCCTGAAAACACTTAAAAAAGAAGACAATAGCAAATGTCATCAAGGATATGGAAATACTAGAACCCTCAGACATGTGCCAGTGTGAATGTAAAATGGTGCTGCCAATTCGGAAAACAGTTTGGGAGTTCCTCAAAAAGTTAAACATATAGTTACCATATGACCCAGACACTACTAGGTATAATACATTTGTCCATACAAAAACCACTACAGGAATATTTGTAACAGCATTAATTATAATAGCCAAAAAGTAGATACAACTCAATGCCCATCAACCGATGAATGGGCAGACAAAATAGGTATACTCATATGATGGAATATTATTCAGCCATAAAAGGAATGAAGTACTTACTTATACATGCTACAATGTGGATGAACCTTCAAAACATTATACTAAGTGAAAGAAGCCAGTCACAAGACCATATATTGTGTAAACCCATTTATGTGAAATGTCCAGGTGAGGCAAGTCCATATAAAAAAGGTAGACTAGTTGTCGCCAGCGGTTGCCGGGAGGGAGGAAGGGGAATGACTGCTAATGGGTTTCTTTTCCGGGTGATGAAAATGTTCTAGAATTAGAGGTGATGGTTGCCTAATTCCGAATAGAGGAAAAATACCACTGGAGTGTAAATTTTTAAAGGATGAATTTCATGCTATGTGAACTATATCTCAACTTAAAAATCAAAATAAATTCTTAAAAATTGCAGCGCTTTTGGAGACCCCTTGCCTTATAAAGAGGATGCCCGCAAACCAACAGCAATAACCCAGACCAAGCACAAGGTGAGCCACTCCCCTCCAGGGACCACGAACTGACCACGCCCCCAGGAGGAAGTCCCGGCTTGGAGGTCGCTGATTGGCTGAGCTGTAGGAGAGGGCGGGGCGAAGAGGGGTGCGTCAAGTCCCTCTCGCAGGGGCGGGGCGGGGCGAAGCCTTAGCTCGCGAGATTTTGCTGGTTCCGCATTTCGGGTCGGCAAGGTGGGGGAGGCGAGAGCAGCAACTGGCACTGGCTCGACCCTCGGTTCAGAGTTCCGGCGCCCGGTGCTTCTGCTGGCCGCGAGCTGAGGACTGTCCGCTTCCTCGTGGTTCCCGCGCGGGCTCCGAATCCAGACCGCGGCGGGGGCCAGCGGCCCCTCCCCTCCGAGGATAGAAGATGAGCTTCCTCTTGTGAGTGTGGCCGGGCCGAGGGCTCCGAGGGCTGAAGGCCGAGGGCGAGGGGGAGAAAGGGGGCGAGCGGGCGCCTGAGGCAAGGGCCGGGCCCCGGGATCGGAGTGTGAGCGGCCGACGTTTGCTTTGCCCGCCCCCCGCCCCCTCCGCCCGCGGGCCACGGGAGAGGCCCGGACGTGGGCCCAGGCAGGCGGAGGTGAAGGTCGAGGCAAAGGAAGCGGAGCGAGAGGGTTGCGGAGTAGAGAGGCCCCGAGGCCGGCAGTGCCTCCAAACTTTTCCGCCCCAGAGCCCCTGAGGGCGGAGGGACGACCTGGGGGTGGAGCCCCGAGCCCGGCCGCTGGGCTCCCGATTCCTCTCAAGTCTGGAGCTTTCTAGTACCGATCCATGCTGACTTAGCTTTTTACTCCACCGTATGTCAAGTTTTATTATCTTCAGTATTAAATTACCCCCGCGGAAAAATGCTGCCCCCAGGAAGACGTTGAGTGCCGCAGTTTGAGAAGCTCGAAGTTAAGCTGCGGCCTTGCATGCAGACTTCTGTCCAATTCGGATTCAGCCCACTTCGTGACTTTGTATAGATTTTAGTTAGTTGGTAATCTCTACACCCATCATGGGGCTCAAACTTAGAACCCCGAGATCAGGAGTAGCATGCTCTCCTGACTGAGCCAGCCAGGCACCGCTCTCACTTTGTGTAATTAACTTTTCCTGGGTAGAATCCTATTTTAGAGATAAGGTCTGGGGCCCAAATGAGGCTTAAATGGAAACTTTTGTGAATTCTCTGATGATTCTTAAGCATGTTAAGGTTTGGGAAGCATTGCTCCAGTACCTTATTTCAGGTGGCTCTCTCTACCTGGTACATTACTTAAATTTATATGTTGTGTGATTGAGGACATAGCTGACATTTTTATTAAATTTTATTAAAGTACGTAATGTTCCTTAACCAGAGTTTATCCAGTTCCTTATTGTGAGAATGTTTTGCTTTGAGAGGCACATTAAGCTCAGAGACCTGAGTTTGTCTTTGCCGGCAATGTATTTAACAGGTTTGCTGTGGGAATTTCATAGGCCAATAGCATACCGGATAGTGTTTCTTATTAAACCAATGAAATACTCCAAGTCAGTGATAGATTAAATACACTTTTGTTCCAGACAAGGGGAGATGAAAAAAATAAAGTCCAAATTTAGTTGAGATCTACCTTTATGGTTGGTCCTGAGGAGAGGGGTTGGGCTTAGCCAACCGAGTGCTGAGGTCCAGCTGCCGGCACTAAAATGAAAGTCCTTGTTGCCAGGGATCGATGGCGCTGGTGTTGACCAGCAAGTGGATTTTCCTACTGCGCTGGGCATTTGCCTGGCAGGGGCCAATTGTCCCAAGGTTTTCAGAGAGCTGTTTAGGTCAGTAAAGTGTCACCTTGCCCAGACCTAACACTCTTCAGTACTCTGCACAAATTCATGGTATTTATAGTCAAAATGTCTCCTTGCCATAGTTGCATCTTCCTAAGTTCTCACTGATAAGCCCCAGCAGGGCCCCTCTGCAGCTGAGCGGCTGAGTTCTTATGGGTGAGAATAGATGAGATGATGACTTCCTGACACAATTTACTTCATTCTTACATGAAAACAACTTTTTTTTGTCTTTGTCATAAACAAGTGGATTAAAACAAATTTCACTTAAGTCATAAACAAGTGGATTTGAAGTCTTACCAAACCCATACACAACAGAGAAATTTGGATTCTATCTAGTATTTTGCTATTATAAAATAGCACTACTGAGAATACCCTTGTTCAAATCATTTTTCCCCCGCCTTTCGATTATTTCTTTGAAGTATGGTCTGCACAGTATGATGACCATGTCTGAGAGTTTGTACGATTTAGATTGTAATTGTAAATCTCCATATTACTGGAACAATTTCTCCCTCCACTCCCAAAGTCTTTTTCCTGTGAGTTAATGTTTAGCTAGTGGTTTGTTTGTGGATGCTCAGTTGCTTAGTTACTTTTTGGATTGAAATGTGAGGTGGTTTTTTTCTTTTAAACTTTCGTTGACAGGCGTTTGAGTTTCCACTTTTTGGCTATTATGAGTAATTCGGCTGTGAACGCTTGTGTTCAGATTTTTGTATTGGATGCATATGTTCATTTCTCTTGGGTAAATACCTAGAAGTGGAATTGCTGAGTTATATGCTAACTATGTTTAACCTTTTCAGGAACTGCCAAACTTTTTCAGAGCACTGCACCATTTTGCATTCCCACCAGCACTGTATGAGAGTTTCAATTTACCCACACCATAGGTAGCACTTGTTAATTGTCTTTTTGATTATAGTCATCCCAATGGATGTGAAATGTTATCTCATTGTGATTTTACTTTGCATTTTCCTAATGACTAATGATGGTCAGCATCTTTTTGTATGCTTTTGGCCATTTGTATATCTTCTCTGGAGTAATATCTATTCAAATCCTGTGATCATTTTTAAATTGGGTTTTTTTGGGGTTGTTTTTGAATTGTAAGAATATAAAAATTTTTTTTTTAAGATTTTATTTCTCTGATAGAGAAAGTGCAAGTGGGGGAGAGGGGCAGAAGGAGTGGGGGAAGCAGGCCCCCCGCTCAGCAGGGAGCCTGATAAGGGGCTTGATCCTAGGACCCTGGGAATCATGACCTGACCCAAAGGCAGATGCTTAACCGACTGAGCCACCCAGGCACCCCACAAAAGTATTAATTTAGATGAAGACCATGTTGAATCTTGAGACATCATTTCATGTTAGTTTTCTTTCTTTTTTTTTTAAGATTTTATTTTTAAGTAATTTCTACACCCAGTGTGGGGCTTGAGCTCAACCCCGAGATCAAGAGGCACATGCTCTACTGACTGAGCCAGCCAGGTGCCCCCTTTCCTACACATTCTATGCATTTACAGGATGGGCTTCTGCTGTACATTTGGTCCTTTAGTATGTTTAGCTATGACTTGAGAACTTGGCATGTGAATACATGTAGCTCTAACTTCTTTTTTTTTTTTTTAAAGATTTTATTTATTTATTTGAGAGAGAGAATGAGAGATAGAGAGCACGAGAGGGAAGAGGGTCAGAGGGAGAAGCAGACTCCCCGCTGAGCAGGGAGCTCGATGTGGGACTCGATCCCGGGACCCCAGGATCATGACCCGAGCCGAAGGCAGTCGCTTAACCAACTGAGCCACCCAGGCGCCCAGCTCTAACTTATTCTTAACTATGTAGTATTCCATGTTATGGATATATCAAATTTATTTATTCTTCTAATAAGTTTTAGGATTATTTCCCAGTTTTTCACTGTTAAAACCAGTCTTGGGAACCACATCCTTATCTATATCTAGGAGAGATACCTAAAGGTAGAAGGAATGGATTGGGAGCACCTCGATGTTTATAGATACTGTTTATAGATACTGCCTTCCCAAAATATTATACCCTTTACACTTTTTTTTTTAAGATTTTATTTATTTATTTGGCAGACAGAGATAGCGAGAGAGGGAACACAGCAGGGAGAGTAGGAGAGGGAGAAGCAGGCTTCCCGCCGAGCAGGGAGCCCGATGCGGGGCTTGATCCCAGGATCCTGGGTCATGACCTGAGCCGAAGGCAGACATTTAACGACTGAGCCACCCAGGCGCCCCACCCTTTACACGTTCACTGAGTATATTAAAAACTAATTTCCCTGTACCCTAGCTCACACTTAATGTAGTTGTTGTAACTTAATCTGACGTTCAGATTAAGGAAAAGGAAGTTATTTTAATTGAACGGTTTTTCATATGTCCATTGGCCATTGTATTTTTATTTCTGAGTTCCCTGTTGATCTGTAGCCCATTTTTCTAAAGGGTTCCTTACCTTTTTCTTAACAAGATTATTGAAGCCCTTTATTTAGTACTTTTTTTTTTTTTTTTAGTTAATACTTTGTAATACATGTTGTGAGTACTTTTTTTGTTACTTGTCTCTTTGTTCTGTTATGGAAATTTTAATTCTTATGGTTAGAAATACCTCCATTTTTTCTGGGTTTCTTATCCTGTTAGCTTCCTTACAGAAAAACGCTTTTTCACAGTAACCAGTTGTCTCTCATTTATTCTCCCTGCTAATAACTTCAAAATGTTAATGTCACTTCTACTGTGGTTTGCTTTGATGGCATCACAGATCTTTTGATATAGAAAACTGGATTTTTGAGCTATTCAAAACTTAGGGCTACCTCTCTCCCCCACCATTTTCTGTAAGTAGAAATTGAATCCCAAAGGAAGTTTGTTTTGTCAGACAGTCACAGAATTAGTGGCAAATCAAGGACTAGAATCCTGTTACACCGTACTACTTCATGAGGGTTAGTAAAATTGCGTTCTGTATGAAATTGTGTTGCTAATCCTGAATCTGTGTGAAGAAAAACATTTAAAGCATTCTTTTTTTTGTGATCATCACCCCCTCCCTATCCTGGCACTTTTCAGGGCACTTTTTAAAATTTTCAGAACAATTTGTATGCCTAAAATTATGCCATTCTGCTTTCAGTCCTAAAATAAAAATGGATATACTTTTACTTTCAATCTACAGCAGCAGCCGCTCTTCTAAAACATTCAAACCAAAGAAGAATATCCCTGAGGGCTCTCATCAGTATGAACTCTTAAAACATGCAGAGGCAACTCTAGGAAGTGGGAATCTGAGACAAGCTGTTATGTTGCCAGAGGGAGAGGACCTCAATGAATGGATTGCTGTTAACAGTAAGTTTTTAATAATATTCAGCATTGCTGATTTATAGGAACAATTTGCTAAAATCTTTTTGTTAATCAATTTTCTTTTATAGGTATAACTGTTGTAGTGTAATGGATTACCTGTAAAGAAATTCATAAGTACAAATACATCTAAAACTGTTTTGTTCCCTTCAGAGTACTTGGTTATGTAGCTTGTGTGGCTGGATAGAGACACCAGAGGAGAAATGTTGAGTGCTTTGGGGTAATTTCTGAGGATAGAATGGTAGGAATTATTGGGTAAGGTCAAATAAAAGATTAGAATACAAAATTCTACCTGTAGTGGACCATGACTTTGTAGGGAGCCCATCTTCACAATTGCATCCCCCTCTCCCAGCAGCTCTCATCTGCCTGCATATTACAGAGAAGTCACTTGTGGTTCATACGAGCAGTCACTTGATTGTTGTGACTTAGGAGTAGTCAGAAGGAAATTGAGAGATCGGGAGAACATGGGAGGGACCCATGAGCTGAAAGTCGCTCGAGTTCAAGAAAATGAGGGCATGACATGGACAGTTATAAATACTGAGGCTAGGGCACCTGGGTGGCTCAGATGGTTAAGCCTCTGCCTTCGGCTCAGGTCATGATCCCAGGATCCTGGGATCGAGTCCCGCATCGGGCTCCTTGCTCAGCAGGGAGTCTGCTTCTCCCTCTCCCTCTGCCTCTCCCCCTGCTTGTTCTCTCTGTCTCTCGCAAATGAATAAATAAAATCTTTAAAAAAAAAAATACTGAGGCTAGAGGTTTGAATATTTGAGCCTGTCATTTCTGAGTTGAGATCAGTGCTGGGTGATAAGGTTTAAATCTGTCAGGAACTTCAGATGTTCCAGGAATTTTTAAACTTCTTAATGGAAAATTTCAAACATACAAAGTAGAGAAACTAGTATAGTGAATTCCCAGGCATCCATTGTCCAGTTTCAACAGTTGGTTCCTGGCCAATTCATGCTTCTATATCTCACCCTGATTTTTTTTTTCTTTTCATATTTTAATTCCTCCTTCCTCTCTCCATCTTCCCCCACTCTTCCTGTCTCTCCCCTGGTTGGTTCCATGCTGGCAGTGAGACCTGGCCAGCCCACCTCACCCTGATTGTTTTGAGGTGAATCCCAAACATATTATTTCATCTCTAAAATTCCGTATCTCTAAAAGACAGGAACTCCCCCTTTTAAAGATAATGACAATACTGCCATTCCTTTATGTTAGCAAATATCTACTCAGTGTTCACATTTTCCCTGATTGTCTTCCAAATGTTTCTTTTTTTAAAAAATTTATGGTTGGGTTAAATCAGGACTAATGAGGCCTATATGTAATGTTTCTTAATTCTCTTAATTCATAGGTTTCTGCTCGTTGCAGTCTTTTTTCCTTGCTATTTTGTTGTTGAAGAAACCAGTTCATTTATTTCCCACAGTATGAATTCTGTTGATTGTGTCCCCAAGGCATCCATTATCATGTTGTTCTTCCTTTTATTTCCTGTAAACGTAGATCTAGAGCAGCACTGTCCAGTAGAACTTTCTGCAATGATGCAAATGTTCTGTATCTGTACTGTGGCCATTTAGCTCCTGAAATGTGGCTAGTGTGACTGGAACTGAATTTTAAATTTAATTTTAATGTAAGTAGCCATATGTGGCTAGTGGCTCCCACGTGAGCACAGATGTGTAGCTTTGCTCAAATTCAGGTTTGATTTTGTTTGTTTGGAAGACTATAAGTGGTGGCATATACTTCCAACAGTGTCCATAATGTCCTCCATAGTGTCTAGCTGTCTTTCTTTGTGGTATTACTCAGCTATTGATAATCACTCCTTTGATCAGCACTGTTTGATAGAAATATAATGTGAGCTACAAATGTAATTTAAAACTTTCTAGTAGCCATATTAAAAAAATTTGGGGGGGGGCACCTGGGTGGCTGGCTCAGTCGTTAAGCGGCTGCCTTCAGCTCAGGTCGTGATCCCAGGGTTCCTGGGATTGAGCCCCGCATCGGGCTCTCTGCTCAACGGGAAGCCTGCTTCTCCCTCTCCCACTGCCCCTGCCTGTGTTCCCTCTCTCGCTGTCTCTGTCAAAAAATAAATAAAATCTTAAAAAAAAAAGTTTTTTTTGTTTTTTTTCAGCACATTAAAAAGCCATTATTCATATTACTAGGAGAAAAAACAAGGTGCAGAACTCCGTGATATGTTAAATCTTTTGTGTAAGACAGGATACAGGTGCTTAGGGGGCAGGAGATAAAATAATGTAGTGGTTATCTGTAGGGGGAAGCTGGAGTGGTTGGGGTTAAGAATTATCACTATATGTGTTTATAGATCTTTGTGAACCCTGTGAAGCATTATGTATTCAGAAAAGACCTTCCCCTGTTTTTTTTTTTTTTAAACCTTAACTCTCATTATCATCTGTTATCTGAAGGCATCTGTTGGCCTTCTTCAGCCTTCAAATTTTCTTTGAGACTTTTTGCTTTAGATAGGCTGTTCTCCAACGTGACTAAGTAAAAGGAAGGTTTATAAGTGAGGGAATTTTATATAAAATTCCTTTTGACAAGACGGAGCTTTTTTTATCTCTTTGTTTTTTAAGAAATGTGGAAAAGCCCTAGTTGGGTTTTAGGTACTCCTTTAGACGGGGAACTAAAACATTTTTTAAAACTTTCCGAGGCTTATGTGGGTGTCTTTGCAGAGGAACATTTGACTCAGATAGGTTCATTACTTACCCCTTCCTCTTCCGTTTTCTTCCATATCTAGCTGAAGCTCTTGTAGGAAGTGCTCCGCGACTACCTCAGCCCCTCAAGATGCTGCCTTTTCTCTCAACTCTTATATGTTGTATTTATTATTCCTTTCAATTTTGTCCCTTCAGATAGCTGGAATCTCCAAGACAGGGGGCATTATCTCATGTCCTTTTTGTGTCCTCAGTATGCATTAGGCTTGAGGTTTTTTATAAGATGTTTTAAGTGCCTGTTGATACAGCTAATACACCTTCTCCTTCACAGGATATTTATTCTACAATGCTTTCTGCTTTTTCCTAGCACAAATGGTATTGTCTGGTCCAGATTGATAGGAAGCAATGGATTTTTTCATTCCTTTGGATATAATCAAATTATATATTCTAATGATACAGTAGTCACCGATAAGTTAGAATTATTCTAAGATTTTATTTTCCTGCTGTTCTATGCTGGCTAAAAACTTACTATATTAAAGAGAATATATATTAAAAGTTAATTTAGGTGTGACAGCTTAAAAGGAGAAGGGAAAACAATGCAATATACGTTAAGAAAAAAAAAAGAAGATAGCAGGAGGGGAAGAATGAAGGGGAGTAAGTTGGAGGGGGAGACGAACCATTAGAGACGATGACTCTGAAAAACAAACTGAGGGTTCTAGAGGGGAGGGGGGTGGGGGGATGGGTTAGCCTGGTGATGGGTATTAAAGAGGGCACATTCTGCGTGGAGCACTGGGTGTTATGCACAAACAATGAATAATGGAACACATCAAAAACTAATGATGTAATGTATGGTGATTAACATAATTTAAAAAAAGACTTAAAAAGCACAAATAAAAGCATCAGGGATGGGGAAAAAAAAAAGAAGGGAATTTGCAGTACCCCTGGATCATTGAATCTCTTAAGGATTTATTCAAGAACTTGAAGGCATTGTCCGTTTTTCCTTCAACTGAGAGGTCTGATGTTTTTTTCTGTTTGCACAAACATTTTAACACAATTCTGGTATTATGTTTCCAGCTGTGGATTTCTTCAACCAGATCAACATGCTGTATGGAACTATTACAGAATTCTGCACTGAAGCAAGCTGTCCAGTCATGTCTGCAGGTCCAAGGTACATACACTGCCTATTAGATAGGTATTTGAAGTACTAAATAAAGCTAATCACTAATTGATATAAATTAAAGCCTTTTTATTTTTCTTATCTGTTTGCTTGTGTAAAAGCAGTTCAATTTTATGAGTTCTTGAATACGTCCCTATAAGCTTTTAGTTATTAAATACTTTGGTATGTGGTACTTAGTATTTAATTTATTATGCTAAATAATGGTATTTAATTGTATTATGCTAAATAATGAATGTTCAGTTTTTTTTCTTGTGCTTATTTAGTGTTAATTATGTCCAAATTGTGCTGCTTTAATTATCTGGCTTAAAGATGCTAGATTGAAAAAATTTGACTACAGCGGCGCCTGGGTGGCTTAGTTGGTTAAGTGGCCAACTCTTGATTTCTGCTCAGGTCATGAACTCAGTGTCATGGGATGGAGCCCCACGTCAGGCTCTGAGCTCAGCAGGGAGTCTGCTTGAGATTCTCTCTCCCTCTCCTCCTCCCCCTGCTTGTGCATGCATGTGCACCCTCTCTTTCTCTCAAATAAGAAGAAATTTGACTATTATAAATTTTAAGAAATACAAAGAAACGTGGAACTCTTTTATCACCCATAATGTTAAGTCAAGGTATGATGGGATTAATGTTTTAGTGTTTCTTTCCAGTCTTTTTTTCCAATAATAAATGACTAATTTTATGTGATGATACATGGTATCAAGATATTTACCCCTTGGGAAAACATTGCCTTTCCTGAATTTGCTAAGGGTATAACGGGAAAAAGGTCTCCGATGAGTTTGTAGTTCTGTTTTTAATTACAGTATTTTGGAGGGATATTTTTATTTTGTGTTAAGTTTTATTCCTCAAACTTCCTGAAAAGAAATTTAAATAAAATAAATGAGAAAATTAAACTTACCTATGGCTTAAATGCTTCACACAATGAAGTTTTGCAGAAGTCTTATTACGCATTTTAGCTCAGCAAAGGGAGGGAGGAAAAGATGCATGCCTAAGGGTGTTTCTTTAGTACCCTCTCCAGGAAACAGTCTTTTTTAAGATTTTGGATTTTTTTTTCCCAGTTGAATTTATTTATTTTTTAAAAGATTTTATTTGTTTGAGAGAGCACGGGAGAGAGAGCACAAGTGAGCGAGAGAGCACAAGCCGGGGGAGGTGGAGGGGCAGAGGCAGAGGGAGAAACAGACACTCCGCTGAGCAGGGAGCCCGATGCGGGTCTCCATCCCAGAATCCTGGGATCGTGACCTGAGCCGAAGGCAGCTGCTGACTGAGCCACCTACGCGTCCCCAAGAAACAGAGTCTTATTATCTTGACTCTGTTGTTGATACCTTGATGGCCAGCTGTTGCAGGATATAGGGGAATCCATCTGTCTCTGACCCAGTCCTCAGCACCCTCTGCCAGGAATGTGTAGTTCCTTTATCTTTCCCAGGGCTGTGTTAAAAAAAAAAAAAATCCATTCTGGCACTGTCAGCTGCCACATTATCCTCCTTTTCTCTTCCAATTATAACTATCCTATTTCAGGATAATTCTATAGGGAACTCTTAGTAACCTTCAGTAGAACTTGAGGTAATTTACTAAATTATATATAACTTCAATTGACAAAATGTAGACCTACTTTTATTACAAGTTGTACCTTTGTTACTGCTTTTGAAAACTCTGTAAGTAAAACCTTTTTCTCTCCAGATACGAATATCATTGGGCAGATGGTACTAATATTAAAAAGCCAATCAAGTGTTCTGCACCAAAATACATTGACTATTTGATGACTTGGGTTCAGGATCAGCTTGATGATGAAACTCTCTTTCCTTCTAAGATCGGTGAGTTAATGTTGAATGTTTTCCTTTTTAACTGATAAATATGTTGCATTCTTTTTAATACTCTGTTTCTTAAAAAAAAATGTAATAAAGGCTGCCAAATTTCTCTCCAAAAAGATTGTAAATGCATACTCCCTCTAGCCATGTTTGTGTCTGCCTGTGTTTCTTCACTAATACTGGTTGGCTACTCATTTTTTAATCTTTTCAGTGTGAGTAAATAAGTTTGTTTGAATGTACATTCAAAAAATATTGATGACATTGAGATTTTTTGGTTTATTGATCTTTGTATTTTCTGTTCCTATCCTTTGTCTATTTCTTTTGTATGGTAAGGATATTAGCTCTTTGACATATAATATGTATCTTGCCCCAGCTTGCCTTTTTTCTTATTTTGTTCATGAGGTATTCTTGCTGTAACTTTCTTATTTTGTCCTATTAATATTTTCCTTTATGTTGTGTGGATTTTAATAAAATGATTAGAAAGGTTTTCCCTACTTAAAGATTATTAAAATATTTGTCCTTGTTTTCATTTAGTACGTTTGTGGCTTTGTTTTTACATTTAAATCTTTGTTCTTGCCAGAAATTTTTTTCTTAAGGCTCCCTTCATTTTTTTTCTAGTTATAAATGCTAATCAGTTTGTCCAGTACCATTTATCGAATACATGTGTCTTTTCTCCCTGGGTTATCATATGTGTACACCGATTGCCACATAATTTGGAGTCTTTCAGTCTCTTTATTTGTTCCTATAGGAATTCCACACTGTTTTAATTACCATGGCCGTATATCTGTGAGCATCTTGTAGGGCTAGTCTCTCTTCCTTGCTCTTCTTTTTCAGAATATTCACGGCTATTCTGGGATATTTGTTCTTCCAAAGAACTTAGAACCATTTTGGCAAGGTAAAATAAAAATATTTGAGATTTTGATTATTTCATTCAAGTTGTAGATTAACATAGGCAGTCTTGTTCTCTTGACAGTACTGGGTCTACTCAAGAACAAGGTACATTTCTTCATCTTTCCTTTTTATTTCCTCTTGTAAAATTCTGTAGTTTATGTTAATCCTTCAAGTTTAAGTTTATTCCTAGACATTTTGTAGTTTTTTTAATTGATATCTGGCTTCCAAATGGTTATTGTTCAGTATATAGGAAAGCTATTGATTTTTCTGTAAAATTTTGTATAAATTGACCATCAGATTCTGATTGTTTCAGTTCTGGGTTGGTTTTCTTGAGTTTTTTAAGTAATACAGTAACATCATATTAAGGTAATATTAATTTTGCCTTTTTTCTGATATGGATGCTTCTTGTGTAACACTTTTTTTTTTTTAACTGATATGGAAAGATTATTCTGTATTTTTTTTTTTATGTTAATCACCATACATCACATCATTAGTTTTTGATGTAGTGTTCCATGATTCATTGTTTGCATATAACACCCAGTGCTCCATGCAATACATGCCCTCTTTAATACCCATCACCAGGCTAACTCTTGTGTAACTCTTATCTCATTGCCCCAGAGTAGTGCTGAGTAATGGTGATGATGTGGCAGACCTCCTTTTCTTGTTTCCTTACTTCTGTGCAAGTGCTTCTAGTACTTCAGCATTAAGCAGGAATCTTGCTTTTGGTTAGAGGTGTGTAAATTTTTAAAAATCAGGTATGGTTGTTGAGTTTTATGATATTTTCCCAGTGTCTGTTGTTGGTTACCATAAGGTTTTCTCCAGTATCTTTTTTTAATGTTTCACTGGAAGAGTATTTTTTATTTGCTAATATTTTGACTAAGATTTTGAGATCGGTATTTATGGATGAGATCAGTCTTTTCGTTTTCAGTTTAAGAGTTTAGTCTTACAAATAATATGTTGGATTCTGTCTTATCTGTTCAGGCTGCTAGTAATAAAACTACCAGAAATTGGATGGCGTATGACAACAGAAATTTATTTCTCAGTTCTAAAGGCTGGATGGTGCCTGTGAAAGCCCACTTTTGGGTTGCAGACTGCCGACTTCTCAGTCTTCACATGGTGGAAGGAGCCAGCAGATGTTCTCCCGGGCCTCTTTTATAAGGGCATTGATCCCACTCATGAGGGTTCTGCCCTTGTGACCTGATCACCTGCCAGAGCCGCATGTCCTAATAGCATCACCTAGGGGGTTAGGATTTCAACATAGGAATTTTGAGGGGACACAAATATTCAGACCATAGCAGATTGCTTTTTGCTGTCTAATCGGTGGCTCTTTTGGGAGAAAAACTTGTATCATGTTACACTCTGTTTGCTATTGGTCAGATTTTCTATTTTATTACTAAACCGCTTATTTCCTTTCTCACAGATTCTTTATTGTAATTGACTGTGCTTGGATGTTTCTGTTCAATTCAGCTTGGAAAATGCTTGGTTTAAGACAAATTACTTCTATTTCTTTATTCATTAAAGTCTTCTGCTTATGGAAGATAAAGAATACTTAAAAGTTTGTTCTCTTTTCTCAGCATTCCATTCTTCAGTAATCCAGCCTGATGTTCTGGAACCCTTTCCCCCCCCCAGTTAGGCTGTTATCCACATCTTACTTCTGCCAGTTATTTATTATTAGATAGAACTGTTACTCATTTTGAACTAATACATCTAAATTATTACTGTTCCTCTTATTAGCAAGATGCATATTTGTAAATTCTAAGAGAAGGAGTTTGACTTAAAAATCCAGCTTTTCAGTATATGAGTACAAGACCCCAGTCCAGAAAAACATGCCCACAAGCTCCAGAATAAAGTTTGAAAATGCAAGTTGTTAGGGGCACCTGGCTGGCTCAGTCAGTACAGCATGCGGCTCTTGATCTCCAGAGGTCTTGAGTTCAAGCCCCACGTTGGGCATAGAGCTTACCTTAAATAAATAAGGTTTTTTGTTTTTTTTTTTAAAGATTTTTTTCATTTATTTATTTGACAGAGAGACACAGCAAGAGAGGGAACACAAGCAGGGGGAGTGGGAGAGGGAGAAATGGGCCTCCCACGGAGCAGGGAGCCTGATGCGGGGCTTGATCCCAGGACTCTGGGATCATGACCTGAAACGAAGGCAGATGTTCAACGACTGAGCCACCCAGGTGCCCCTTAAATAAATAAAATTTTTAAAAAAATGCACATGGCAGTTGTTAGCCAAGATGGGTGGGGGGGGCAGAAAAATTAGCTTGCAAGAGCAAAATACACTAAATTTCAAGCTTTTAAGGACTGGTTAAGAAATAAATTAAAATGCAGGCAAGGAGAAAGTTTTAACCTTTTGTTTTCTGAAAGACTGAAGAAAAGGAAATGTTTCTTGAGTAGTGTTGTGGAACTAGCCTTTAAGGCTGCCTCATCTAGGTTATTTTGGAAGCTGATGACTTCTTAATGTGTTTATATATTGTACTCAGTGCCACTTGTATTGTCTTTCTTCTGTCCCTGTTTCCGAAGACTTTGATCTTGTCAACCGGAGTTCTCAGGAACGTGACCAGAGAGAGATTACCAAACCCTCTCCCCATTCTTTTCTAAGGAAGTGTTTATTTTATTTGCAAAATAGTGAGGTGCTCTTCCTCCCTTTTTCAGGAAGTTTGTCCCTATCTTGTATTACAGGAAAATGAAAATAGCACTTTGAAAAGATAAAAAGTTGGGGACTCCTTGATTTAAGAAAGAAAACTGGTTTTTCAGGGTAATTCAGAAGATAAAATACTTTTTATTTATAGACAGTCAATTATAATGCCTTTTTCTCTTGCTTAGTATTCATTCCTAGTTGAGTGTGTGTAAAACTTTTTAGAGTTATGAATTACAAAAATAGAAGGTTTTTATTTATAGTCAAGATACTTGTTGCATTAATCTTAGGAAGAAACTCTCCGGTATTAAACAGCTAAAGTTATGTTTATTTTAACTTTGATTCAGTGGCACCTTATAAACATAAGAAAAAGTGTGGTATGTGAGGATACCTCATATATCTGTGTTTGGGTTTTTTTTTCTTTTGTCTTTTGAAAAAGTATATGTATGGAAAACAGCCTTATATTTGTGAATGTGTGTGTTTGTGTGTTGGAGTTGCTTATGGCAGCTTCTAAACTTTATGCTATTCAGTTAGATAAAAGACAATTAATATATATGTATTTGATTACAGGTGTCCCATTTCCCAAAAACTTTATGTCTGTGGCAAAGACCATTCTGAAGCGTCTGTTCCGGGTTTATGCCCATATTTATCACCAGCACTTTGATTCTGTGATGCAGCTGCAAGAGGAGGCCCACCTCAACACCTCCTTTAAGCACTTTATTTTCTTTGTTCAGGTAAGTTGAACCATGTTGACATCTTTGTCCTTTGAGTTGGGCTCATTTGTTAATTTTAATATAGAGTAATTTATAGAGTTGTCTAATTTATAGATGTAGAGCAAAGTATAAGCAGAGCTCTCTCTTTTCTCTTTTCCATGTTATTTATTTCATTGGTGGGCGTAGCAACATAGAAAGCATCACCCCCATTTTGGGCCTTTTGCCCCTGGCTGCGGCAGCCGGGTCTGCAGTTAGGATATGACAGGGAGCACCAAGACTCCAGGACAGCTTGTCCACACCCTCCTGTTCCATCACCACTGTTGAGTGAAAGGATGCAATGGAAAAATGTCTGCAGTTGGATCGTTTCATGAGATGTCTATGCCTGGGAGAGAAATTTTTGGAAGAACTTGTTAGCTGCTCTCTTAGTTTAAGCTTCTAGAAACCCCATTTCAGGCCAAATCTTATGAAGTCAGCAGCTAGAAACTTCAAAAAGGACCGCCCCCTTCAAAGATGGGGCCTATTACCTAAAGGACCCTTAATTGGAATTGGAACTTTTTTAAAATCAAAATAATTTGCATTGTTTGAAAAAGATACTAAAGAGACTCCTTTAGCTACTTTAGAGATCCATAGTTTCTATGCATAATGCACATATGTCTGTCTAGATACTGTTTTTTGGCAGAAAAGCCAGGAGTTTTATAGTAGATATTGTGTATTTCAATTATATGTGCCACACAAAGGATAATGTACTGTGCTCTTCTCTGTCTTCCTTCTGAGATTGTGCATGGCACAGAGCTCGGCAGAGTGTAGGTGCTGATAGAGGTGCGTAGATGCAGACACAGATGAGAGTGTAGAGCAGAAACATAGTGGTAGTGTGGACGCGGACGCGGGTAGGTGCAGACGCAGGACAGATAGGGCGGTAGCGTGGACGCGGGTAGGTATAGACACAGTATAGCTCTATGAAAGACAAAGGGCCACTGCCCAGGAGGGGGCCACTGGCAGAAGTTCATTGTATGGTTTTAAGATCATTTCCATGTAAATGCAAACATATATGTAATTTGGATTTTAATGTTTTACACAGTGAGGATCATGCTAATACATACAGTTGCTTCTTTGGTAAATCCCCTATATTTTAAAAAATGAGTAAAAATGATCCCATTTTAAAATGTTCACAGAGATCATTTCATCATTTTTTGGATTTCAGAAAATCAGGGCTGGGAATCCCTTCTTTCAGTGACATTTATTGAGTTTTAATTTTAGGCCTATTTTTAAATTTTACTTTTCTTCTCTTTTTAGGAGTTTAATCTGATTGATAGGCGTGAGTTGGCACCTCTTCAGGAATTAATTGAGAAGCTTGGATCGAAAGACAGATAAATGTTTCTTCTAGAACACAGTTACCCTCTTGCTTCATCTGCTAGAGCTATCTCACTGCTATTTGTTATAGACTAGTGATAACAGACTTTAAGAAAACAGGATAAAAAGACACCTGTTGTTGGTGTCTACTGATAAAATTGTCCCAAAGGTAGATTGGCCTGATTCTTCAGTGAGAAATTCAAAAGGCAGCCGACTGAGGCACTGTGTGACCACTCCTGTTATTGTCAGTGTTATACTTGGTTTTAATATGGGATGACTAACATGTAGTCTCTTAGTTTACTTATTCTTTTACTGAAGAAAATGATTGAGTGCTTCAGGTTATAGCATAATGGCTATTGAGAATTTCCACCAATACTTTATTAACAAGTTTCTAGAACCAATTACCTAATAACACAATCAGATCAGTTTTTATTTACAAATAGAAGAGGTATTTTTAAGTTTCCTTAAGATTTAGAGCATTTGTGTGTTACTTTGGATAACCTTTTAGTTTGAAGTTTGTATGCTAGTGTTTTTATAGATAAGACTATATATATATGTTTATTTTTTCAGAATACATGATTGTAGTTTAAATCCTCATATGACCTATGTGGTATGGGAGTAACCAGAGTTATTTCTAAAATGACTTTATTTTTTAATCTTTATTTGGGATTTTATTCACATAAACCTATCTAAAGTTTTAGGAGTATGTATATCAGAAATAATTTTCTTAAGGCATGAAAGGATAGTCCTGTACATTTTTATTTTGAAATGCTTCATTCAGATTAATTTTAATAGGTAGCTTTTGGCTAAGAAAGAAAACTCCAAAAAATTATGACAAATTTAGGTCTCAGAACCACTATTTTCATTTATGTTGTTTTTCAGAGCCCCTAAGATCCTGGAGAGGAGAGTGGAAGAAAGTACTCAGAGTACTTTATTTTCTTTTGAGTGTCCTTTAAAACAAAAAACAAGAATTACTTCTATGTGTTTTTATTGTGACTTGAGACTTGGTTAAGGGTAGTGTCGAAATGCCCAGGCTTTAATCCCAACAAGGATAAAACTTAAGGAAGACTGTAATAAAAAACCTTGAAGGTGTACACATTTTATAACACAGCTTAAAGTTTGGTGTGCTACCGTGTGTGTGTGTGTGTGTGTGAACTAAATGGGAGGAATAAGTAAAAGATCTTACTTCATTCTGTTAGTAGTCAGAGGATGGATTGAGCCCCGATAGGGGGTTTAATCCTGTTTTAATTGTTTTTGTATCAAAACTTGAAATTCTTCTACTTCTGTTGGGATAAAAAAAAAATCTTCCCCTTTAGTGAAATAAAGGTCTAATTTTCATTAGGTTTCTAGGATTTATAAACTCCAGCTGCCTGTCAAGAATGTACTGGGCACAAGTCTGCTGAAGACTTGACTGACCAGCATTGCTTAAAGTCCATTAGCACTCTGTGATTTCAGAGCTGGGATTTTTGCAGAGTGCTCACCAACTCCCTTGATGGCTTTGATAAAAGGTTAGATTGGTTAGGTTTTTTGTTATTTATTTTTATTATTCCACTAAAGTATAAAGAAAAAAATTGCTTAGGAATTCCATTTTTATAACTCCGTTTCATATCCAGATATACAGAATTTTAAAGGAAACAAAACCTTTCATCTATTTTATTTAGGCTGAAACCATGTATCTTTGTTTCAGGAGTTAAAAAACGGGATAATCCCTTATGGAAAAAAAAAAAAGAAAAGCCCTCTGAAACATTCCACAATCTGTGTTTTAAGCTTATCCAAAGGTCCCTGTCCGCAGTTCTGTGTGTTTGTGTTGATCATTTATGAACAAGGAAGCAGGTTTCTAGATGCCACCCAGAATGTTAACTGCCTCTCAACTTTGGCTTTAATTAAGTCTTCAAGGAATGAAATTCTGTTTCTCAACTAGGGTTGTCCTTTCCATCATTTCTCATATTTCACATGATTTTTAAAGGAGTTCTCACTTTTCTCCTATTTATTTTCAGTGATAGAAATCCTCCCTCTCTTCATGACTGCATCCCAGAACAAACCAAAGATGGTCACATGCTTAGACATAAATAAAAAATTTGTTGGTAATTTGAGACTCAGAATGTCCTTTTTTAAAATAATAAACACATTACCAGGTTCCCAGGCTAACCGGGCTTAACCAACAATGCACCTAACCATTAAATTAACACTACTTGTTCACATCTAAAGCCAGGGAGTAGAGAGCAGGAGAACTGGAGGAGGGGGGAGGGTGAGGCCCTCCTGACTGGGCTAGAGGGCCAGTCTTTGAGAAGAGTTGGAAGGAATCCGTCTGTCTTGGAGTCTTCTCTCTTGTGATTTATCTTCCTGTGCCCGGGGTCTGCCTGTTCCACAACCCTCCCTGCCCTTCCCCCCCCCCCCCCCCCCGGAATCAGAGGTCACCTCCTGTTAGGGTCTGGTTGCTGCTCCTCACCCCTGAGTACAGTCACGGGGTGGAGAGTGCTTGCTAAATTACACAGGTAGTCCTAAGGTGCTTAATTTCTGGGCCTTTAAAAAACTTAGAGAATGATGTGCAGATTTTTGTTTATTAAAACTTCTTCGTACTACCGTTTTTGTTTTGATAGCCAAATGTCTCCTTTATTCTCCAGACTGTGAACAAAGTGATTTTTAGAGGGCTGCCAGCTAACAAATTTCATCTTAGACTTGCAGAGCCCTAGCTTCTGTAAGCTGCTGCCTGCTTGAGAAATGCAAATCTGTATTCATCAAGGCTGTGATAACACAGGGAAGGCTTTCCTAGTAGTGCAGAGGCAAGAGGAGCAATCCGCTGGTGATTTTAACTTTTGCAAACATTTTTGAGGTTTTCCGATTATACCGTTGGCTTTCTCTTGGACCAGTGAGGTTATACTAGAAGTGGAGCTTCTAAACAGAACACCATTACCTCATCAGCATAAACAAATCAGCCCTAAAGAGTCCAAGTCTTAGAAATTTGTTCCTGAGCAGCAGCAGACCTGGTGCTGGTGTTACCTGCCTGGTACAGGAGGCTGAGAACCCTGGCCTGACAGATGCTGGCCAAGACCCCGAGCACTGAGCCCCTTCACCAGGGACGTTCTCTCTGCCTGAAGTCAGTTCAGTAAGTGGATTTGATTTTTACTATTGTAGAATTCTGGCAAAGAGGGAAAATAGTGGTCCCTCAGTCTTCCTGTGTGTTTGCATTAGATTTTGATATTTCAGACTATAAAAGGCTTTGGGGGATGATATTACATGTGATAGCAGTGACTTTAGTGAAGCAACTGCACTGAAATTCACTTGGGTTTTCTCTCATTCTCAGATTCTATTCCAAACAAGTAGTCTGTAAATCCAAATGGATTACCAGTGTGCTGTAGGTTTTTTTATAGAACATTCTATGTTTGGTCTACATCAACAGTAGTTTGCATAAGTTAGTCTTGGTTATCTAAAATATTTTTAAATGTTCTTTACATGAGAATTTATGTTGTATTTCTAAACCTTTAGGGGCTTTATCTATTTTTCTAAGTCAGTTAATTGTACTTTTAAAGAAAGTATTTTGTATCTACTTTTGTAACTTCATCAGAATAAAATATATTAAAAGAAATGACTGATTAAAGTGTCTCAACACTTTTTTTAAGATTTTATTTATTTGAGAGAGAGTGCACATGCATGCCCCCTGAGCGGCAGGGGGAGGGACCACAGGGGAGGGAGAGAGGCAAGCAGACTCAACACTGGCTGGATCTCATGACCCTGAGACCACGGCCAGAGCCCAGACCAAGTCAAACACAAAGCCGACTGAGCCACCCAGGCGCCCCTCACACTTATTTCCATTTAAATGTGAAACTTAAGATTTTTGCTTCTATAGAAGGTTGTCTTTGCTTATCATTTAGTAGCTAAAATGTTTCCTTAACTCTTAGAGGAAAGAGAAGTCCCTAAATAAATATTCTATAATACCAAGGACCCACCCTCAAGAAACAAACTAGACCTACAATTACAGTGGCTAAAACCCATCCCAGACAAAAAATTAGTAGTCTCCTGCACTAACCAAGCTGATTTCTTTTTTGCATATTCCTGGTTGTGGGTTGAGAAAAGGGAAGAGGAGAGAATGGACTCATGATTATCTGACCTTGAACTGCATGCTCATCATAAGACTGCCCACCCCAAATAGCCAGTTTTTGTTCCCGTAGGAGAAATATGAGTTATTTTTAGAGGTCCAAATTACAGGTGCCTAATTTTAATTCAAGATAGCAATGCTAGAATTGTTTTGACCTTTTGATTAGAGTTAAAATTTAGAAGTTAATATGGCTAAATAATATGCGTTAACACTCCTATTTTGTATAAGATATAAACTTGATCAGTTTTGGATTTTTTTTTGATTGTTACATTTCAATAGGATTAAAATCGCTCATAAAAATGTAAGTATGTCTAATGTCTAATTTTGAAAGCTATTTTAAACTTTATAAATGAATAGTAGAATAACCCAAGTAACCTTTGGGAGGGCCGGAGTCAGGCTTCAAAGCTACAGTGTCTAAACCATGTCTCAGGCCCTCTAGCGAATAACACTGAAGGCCGGACACTACAGCCTGCACCATTATTGCTGGCCACTAGATGTCAGTCTCTGCGTCAGCGCCTCCCAAAAGCCAGATGCATCAGCCCTGACCAGAATAAAGAATTTTACCTAAAACTGTCTTCCTTTCCTGTCTTATAATAAAACATGTACATGGGTGGGGACAAAAAAACCCAAAAAACATAATGGGCACCTCAGATTTGGTAGATCCTAGGTCATATACCTCTGTCCTGGCTGCTAGAGAGGCTGGGGAAGTTTCTGGATTTTACTTGGAGGTTTAGAGTTCACAGCAAAATTGATGCTGGTTGTTGGAAAAACTTGGGACTGGCTCCTGCCCTGAACTTTCTGTTCCTGCTTTGTGAAAAGATAAGGGAGTTTTCACTAGAATGTAAGTTTCTGAGCACACTGTTAAGCTCAACGGACATTTTTTGTAGCGTATTTGCTAAGTGAAGGAAGTCAATTACTGATTCAGATTCTGGTCAAGTTCTTGTGGTTGATGAGCGCTTTGAATACCACTTCTTTAGGGGAGCCTACCTGTTTAGGGGAGTCCTTCAGCAGGTTATCTTTTTTTTATTAACATATAATGTATAATTTGTTTCAGGGGTACAGGTCTGTGATTCATCAGTCTTACACAATTCACAGTGTTCACCATAGCACATACCCTCCCCAGTGTCCATCACCCAGCCACCCCATCCCTCCCACCCCCCACCACTCCAGTTACCCTCAGTTTGTGCCCTGAGATTAAGAAACTCTTATGGTTTGTCTCCCTCTCTGGTTTCATCTTGTTTCATTTTTCCCTCCCTTCCCCTATGATCCTCTGTCTTGTTTCTCAAATTCCTCAAATCAGTGAGATCATATGATAATTGTCTTTCTCTGATTGACTTATTTCACTTAGCATAATACCCTCTATCCATCCACGTTGTTGCAAATGGAAAGATTTCGGGTTTTTTATGGTTGCATAATACTCCATTCTGTGCGTGTGTGTATACATATATACACACACCACATCTTCTTCATCCATTCATCTGTTGATGGACATCTAGGCTCTTTCCACAGTTTGGCTATTGTGGACATTGCTGCTATAAACATCAGGGTGCACGTACCCCTTCGGATCACTACATTTGTATCTTTGGGGTAAATACCCAGTAGTGCAATTGCTGGGTTATAGGGTAGCTCTATTTTCAACTTTCTGAGGAACCTCCATACTATTTTCCAGAGTGGTTGCACCAGCTTGCATTCCCACCAACAGTGTAGGAGGGTTCCCCTTTCTCTACATCCTCGCCAACATCTGTTTCCTGACTTGTTAATTTTAGCCATTCTGACAGGTGTGAGGTGGTATCTAATTGAGGTTTTGGTTTGGATTTCCCTGATGCTCAGCAATGTTGAGCACTTTGTTGAGCACTTTTTCATGTGTCTGTTGGCCATTTGTATGTCTTTGCAGAAATGTCTGTTCATGTCTTCTGCCCATTTCTTGATTGGATTATTTGTTCTTTGGGTGTTGAGTTTGATAAGTTCTTTATAGATTTTGGATACTAGCCCTTTATCTGATATGTCATTTGCAAATATCTTCTCCCATTCTGTCGGTTGTCTTTTGGTTTTGTTGACTGTTTCTTTTGCTGTGCAAAAGCTTTTTATCTTGATGAAATCCCAATACTTCCTTTTTGCCCTGGCTTCCCTTGCCTTTGGCGATGTTTCTAGGAAGAAGTTGCTGCGACTGAGGTGGAAGACGTTGCTGCCTGTGTTCTTTAGGATTTTGATGGATTCCTATCACATTTAGGTCTTTCATCAATTTTGAGTCTATTTTTGTGTGTGGTGTGAAGAAATGGTCCAGTTTCATTCTTCTGCATGTGGCTGTCCAATTTTCCCAACACCATTTGTTGAAGAGACTGTCTTTTTTCCATTGGACATTCTTTCCTGCTTTGTCAAAGATTCGTTGACCATAGAGTTGAGGGTCCATTTCTGGGCTCTCGATTCTGTTCCATTGATCTATGTGTCTCTTTTTGTGCCAGTACCATACTGTCTTGATGATGACAGCTTTGTAATAAAGCTTGAAGTCCGGGATTATGATGTCACCAGCTTTGGTTTTCTTTTTCAATATTCCTCTGGCTATTCGGGGTCTTTTCAGGTTCCATACAAATTTTAGGATTAATTTGTCCCATTTCTTTGAAAAAAGTGGATGGTGTTTTGATAGGGATTGCATTAAATGTGTAGATTGCTCTTAGGTAGCATAGACATTTTCACAATATTTGTTCTTCCAATCCCTGAGCATGGAATGTTTTTCCATTTCCTTGTGTCTTCCTCAATTTCTTTCATGAGCATTCTATAGTTCTCTGAGTACAGATTCTTTGCCTCTTTGGTTAGATTTATTCCTAGGTATCTTATGGTTTTGGGTGCAATTGTAAATGGGCTTCAGCAGGTTATCTTATTTAATCCTTACAGCCACCTAGGAAGGGGGGCGGTAACTGAGAGGTATGTTAAGAATTTTTCGGTGTTTTTCAGAAGGTGGCACAAATGCTCTGACTTCAGATAGCTACTGCATAGTGAGACCAGTCTTTTCCTCTGGGATGCATCTGTAAAATCTGTGTGCTCATGTGTGCTAAGAGGCTCTATAAAACAAAATGACCACGATTTATACTCATACCTATGAGGTAAAAAAAGATGTATCCAAAGAGATCCTCCTGAGAGGATTAATTTTGCGATTTTGCGACTAATTTTGCGATTAGCTCAGATGTAAATATGAGTGACCATGGACCAATATAAGTGAATATAAGAGAATCTCAAATTCAGGGCAAAAAAGAATAAAATGCAGAAGGGATAGACCCATTTCCTGGGACTAAAGCTATTATACTTTTAATCATAATAAAGTAAAACTGGCCTTTTATTTGCTTCTATCATAAAAAGTTACACTTGAAATGTTAAATTGGAACTAATTTGGAAGCCCAGGATTGGTGAGATTGTTCTGCAGATCCTTTCCTAAAAAGGTTCAAATTCACACTCTGGAGCTAGAATGGCTAAACCACTGTTCAGCTCTGTTCAGTAATCCTATGTGTGTGTGCACTTTTTGTTCTATGCCAAGCTGGGCAGCTGGCAAGACTAAGTCAAGAGACTGGGGTGGAGCTCAGGGACCACTGGGAAAAACACACACCTACATAAATTGGTAGAGTTATCTGATTGCCATAGGGGCAATAAAAGTTATGCGTAAGTTGTGGGCCCCTAAGCTTACTGTGGGGCCATCAGAGGCAGCTGCCTGGAGAAGACAAGGCTTGAGCCGGCTTATAAGATGGGTAACCACATAAGCAAGCTTGTAGCATAGTTTGTACAGGGAGGTACCAGCCGTCCAGTATTACTGAAGGGTGGATTCCAGTTGGACAGGTAGGTAGGGGTTAAATCATATGAAAGAACTTGGATTTTTGCCAGTAGGTGATGGAGGGTCAGAGGATTTTAGATAAGCAAATAATGGACAGGTTTTCCCTTCAGATGGCTCTGACGGCAGTGTAGAGACACGAAGGGGAGGATACTGGATACTAGGGCAGAGTGACGGTCCAAAATAACGATAATAATAATGTGAACGATCGTGAAATTAGGAAGGAGAGGAAGGTTGAAGATAAGCAAAAGTACTGATTTTCAATAAAAGAGGAATTCGGCAAATACAAATCAGTGAGTTTAAGGTGGGTCTCTTACAAGTAACAAACCCAACCAACTAAAAGGACTTTAGTGCTCATTTCTGGCACTATTTGACAAATGGTGGCAAGCATCTGTCTCTCAACAACTTGTGTATCTATTTCATTTCCAAAATGGGTGCTGCGCACATGATTACAAAGGTGGCAGCCAGCTGCAGGCGCTCAGTGGCAAAGGACCGTTTCTTCTCCTTAGTGCCGGGCGAGTCTCTAGACCAACTCTCACTGGGCTGGCTCAGACCATCTGAACCAACCCAAACCAATCGGTGCCTGATGGGCCAGACCTGGGTCATGTGACCACACTCGGAGCTGGGGACAGGTCGACCCTATCTGAACTGTGTGGTACAAGAAGCAAAGCGT